TGTTTCCTTTGGGTATTTCCTTTGGTTTTTCTTGAGTTGCCAAAAAAGGAAATTTTTTAAAATTTTTGTGATTTGCGAAAAGAGTTTTTTTTTTTTTTTTTTAGGAATTATAGTTATTTATATTTTAATAGTCAGAATTAATTTATTATATAAAAATCTTAAATATATAAAATAATAAAATATTTAATAAAATTACTATAAAATCAAACTAGCTTTACCAAAATATCAATTAATCATTATATATATAGATGAATCACTCAATATACAAAAACAAATGGGCTTTATATAGTATATATCCAACTGCCCTCAAGTAAACTTTCAAGGTAGAATTATATCTTTTCCTTTATTAATTAGAATAGAACTTGCAGCAATTGCTATAGCCTTAATTACAATTTCAGCAGGAAGAGACATAACAATATGATATAATAGTTAAGTAGCAATAGCAGCAATATGCAAGACAATCACCAATCTCAAATATCTTAGAATATTATAAAACATTAATATTATCAACACTATCATTACTATAATACATAATCAAAAACTAAAAATAAAATAAAACAAAGTAAAGATATATAATAATAATTCTAACAATGATAAAGTAGACTGGATGGTCAAAGAGACTTGTCACAAATCAGAAAATTACATCGATTTCAAACCAGTCAATTACTAACAAGTAGATTGGATATCAAAATAGAAGGGACATATCCTTGACAATACCATAATGACAACAATCAAAAACATAATCTGTATAAAATATATAATAAATTGAAGAATATTGAACTATAATATAAATATTCTAGATCAATATTTAATTGATCAGATAGCCTGGACACCAATATTTAAACTCAAACAATCCTTTCAACTAATATCAGAAAACATAAATTAGCAAGATCACAACATTAGAAGCTTTTATTTAAAATTATAGAATTTAGAACTTCTTTCCAAGAACAAGTTACATAAACGATCACCATAGTTTATATAGATAACATATGTCCAAGATGCAAAAAAGCTATAGAAACAAATATATACATTATGATCTATAATAGCAACCAAACAAGCAACACAAAACCAATTGAACAAATAATCAATAAAGAAATTACAGCATGTATAATAAAATCAATAGGTTTAAAACTACATCATAAAATCATTCAACATATCCAAAATTGGTCCAAAAAAAACAAAGAATATCATTACGAGAGAAGCAATAACTTATGAAATAATAGCCATAATCAAAAAATTCATACTCTCAACAGAATATAAAGAAACAATCAAAAGCATCCCAAATAGAATTCTCAACAATCTAGAAAAGACATGGATGTGACACAATGAAATTTTCTTTAAATGGAAAGAAGAAAACAATATAATTATATAGGACAAATGGCAGTGGACAACAAATAATAACAAAGGAACACAATCAAAATTATACATACTAGGAATCAACTCAATTATGAGCCATGCAATAAATAATTGGATAAACTGGAACATATTTTACAATTATAGAATTTTTTTTAATAGGGATTAGTAGAGCCTTGACAAATTAGTCAAGAATATATCAATTTTTGGCAATAAGCCACATGGTAAGAGAAACCTTTAGTGAGTTTAAGGAATAAATAGAGTTTTAAATCTTGTAAAAATTTGTAATATACTTAATAAAATATTCAATAAACAAGATATAAGCTGCTTGTTAAAAAAATAAATAAATAATAATAATAAATTTACTATATAGATACTTGTTAAAAAATAAAATAAAACAAATTAATAAAAAAAAATTTTAAAAAAAACAATAATATATAACAAAAAATATAGCAATAACAATAATATAAATATAATTAAATAAAATAGTAAAAATATAATCATATACTTGTGTTTATACAATAAATTGTTTCAAGGTTTATCTTTAATTAATAATATAAATTATTCATTTAATATATTAGAATATTATAAATATTTCAAAAAAAAAAAAACTTTTTTTTGATTATGTTTACTTTGTTAAAAAATTTTCTTTTATAGTAATTTTTGTTAAAAAAAATATTTTATACTCTTTATCGCAAGTGAGCTTCAGCTCAGGAACTCAAGAACCTTTAAAACAACTGATGCAGTGGGATAGGACCTCTGGTCAAAGTCTATTCAAGTTTGGGAGTCTTGCTTATCCTTTGGTTGCATGAGAAAAGACCTGTGGCAGTTCTCTTTTCTTTTGTTTTCTTGCATCCCTTCTTTTATTTATTATAATATAAAAATCATCCACATCAATACCATTATACACACTAAGTCAAATACTTTCCAAAAAACACATTCAAACAGAGTTATTGGGTCTACTGTTTGTTTTAACACAACCTTTATATACAACTTTATCATTATAATACTTATTGCACTATTTCAAAATTTCCAAAACTTTTTGTTCAAAAAACTGAAATCAGTTTATCTTCTCTTGATGATTGTCACTCTTCAATCATTCAATCAGATTTCATTAAAACAACAAAGCAAAAACTGAACCAGTTTAAACTGGTTTTTCAGTACAACAACAATAATAATAACAACTATTACAACAACAAACAATGTCAATCATATTCTACTATTCATATTAACAAGGGATATATCTCTAAGCCCAGCACTGGCACAAGGGTCAGACTATTGATTTCCTTTTAGATATTCTTTTTGTTTATATAGATTTTATAATTTAATTAACATAGTTTCAATACAAGTAGCCCATGTGATTGTAGCCCCAGTTATATTTTTCTTTTTTTCTTTTATTCTTACATCTTATCAAATTTTCTAAGTAAGTAAGCATAGCTGCTACCCTCAGCTATATTTAGCATATAGTATTGTTTTAAAATTTTTTTTTCAATATTAGCTAGATATAGATAGTATAGGCAAGCTAGCATTAAACTTGCTGCTATTGCATGTAAGAGATATTGTTTCTTTCATGATGTATACTTTTTAAATATACAAACAAATAAAGAAATGATGTTTACCTACCAGGGAAAAAAAAAGAATATTATAAATATTTCATAATTAAAAGAGAATTTTTTAAATAAAATATACCAATATATAAAATAACCCTGTAAGTTAAAAATATCTTGTCTAATTAATTTATATAAAAATAACAATTTCAAAAATTCTATATTTAAATTAATATAACAATAAACAAAAAAAAATTTTATATTAAACTGTTTTTTTTCCATAATTTATACTGTATATTAATTAATAAAATAAAATTTAAATATTCATTTTATATATTATAAGATTTATTCATTACAGTAGATTATAAAAGAATTAGAAGCCCAATTTTTTTTTTTTGCACATTCTAAATATATTATGAGAACTTGTAGGAAATCGATTGTTATATGATTATGAATAATATTTGAAGTTTTCCAGGACAAGAAAGTTGTTTATAATTACACTAATGTTATGTAGTTAGAAATTAATTACATGTTAATATCAGCGACTGTCTGTGGTCGGTATTCAATGATCGATATTATGGTTAAAAGTACAATATACATATAGTGTAAATGAGTCACAACAGTACTCGCACCACCAACCAAGCAAATGAGTACTAAGTCTCTTTCATTACCATAAACCTAATTAGGCTGATTGAAATTTTTTATTCATCCACTATTTCAGTGATTTTTGGTTCATCTTCTTTGATTTCATAAATTTTTGGTTCTTCCGAAGCTCTCGGTTCCTCTTTAGTTGAAGTTTTTTGTTCCTCGTTATCACCTGATTTCTTTTTTGCTTCCTCTTTCTCTTCTTGTTTTCTCATTCGGTCAAACATTCCCGCCAACTCTTTACGCTGTTTTTTGTCCTGTTCCTTTTCTTTCTCTTTAAGATTCTGCCATTCACGTTTGACCGCAGCATCTATCAATACGCATATGGATACATGTAGAATTACCTCACAACATTTGCATAATGGTGAAAAAGCTGTTATACATACCATCAGGATTTTTTGCCGTCAATTTTTCCAAGTCTTGTCGTGCTTTTGTTGTATTTCCATCTTTAATTAGCGCCTGTGCGCGACGATATAAAGCTTTTGTGTTTTCCGAATCATTTTTCAAAGCCTGCCGATTTGGTTATATTTCTGCATTAATTACATAGATTATTTTATGAGGAAAATACGAAATCATACTTTGTCGGCATATTCAATTGCTTTTGACCATTTTTCTTTTTTGATAAGACACGCTTTTTAATTGACTGTATTTTAGTATAGTTGTCTAAAAACATTTACAGCAAATTCTAATGGTAACATACGTACCAGCCATATTACTATATATTACGCTAGTAGTTTTCATGATTTCTTCTTGTATGGGATCATTTTTAGGTTCTTCTTCTTGTTCTTTTCTAAAGATCGCAAAGGACTTGTTATTTTGAAGACCGTTCAAATAAAATAAAGCCTATACAAAAAATAAGATAATGGTGTTATTAAAAACGCGTGGGGTAATATATATAATGAGAAATAATTTACCTGGTGATAATGTCGCAAGGCTAGGCATTTTTTAAAAAGTCTCGAGTTATACAATAAAACCAAAAAAATGGAACAAGTAATTTCAGAAAAGTAAACTAACCTTCTGTGACGTTTCCGTTTTTAAAAAAATCATTGCCCTTATCCTTTTCAACCTTGGCACTTGCGAGTTTTTCTTCGTTGTTAATACTTTCCGACATGGTCTCGTATGTCCTATGAGCTAAGTCCGAGAAAACGGCCAGCCTATATAATGAAATTGGTTACACAGATTGACTTGCATTATATATTAAATTGGATTTTCATGATTTTCATCATCTTAAATATGACAATATCAACCGAGGTTTTTCCGTCAGCTTCACCCGAATTGCTCAGATCTGATCCTGCTACTTATGATAATTTGGAAGAGATTATTACGAATAAGAATGGTCAAATCCCGTTGCATAAACGGTTTCGTGCCGTTTTTACTTTAAAAAATATTGCCGACGAGAAAAGTATTGATATCCTTGCAAAAGGTATTTTTTTTTTTCTGAAATGCTGAAAAACGTCATTGAAAAATAGGATTTACATTAAAGTCCTTCCTTAAATATAGCCTTCAAGGATGATTCTGCATTACTCAAACACGAACTTGCTTATGTATTGGGACAAATAAAAAACCCTTATGCAAATCCGGTGCTCAGTTCAGTATTGGACGATAAAACAGAAGACCCAATGGTTCGTCACGAGGTATGATTGGTAAAAAGTTATGTTAGTTATGTTTCGTCAGTAATCTATATTTTTTGTTTTCTTATCGCGAAAGGCGGCCGAGGCGCTTGGAGCTATCGGAGATCAATCGTCGCTAAATATTCTAGAAAAACATTTATACGACGAACACGCCGTTGTCCGAGAAACATGTGAATTAGCCATCGCAAAAATTAAATATGAAAATAGTAAAGAAGATTTAGAAAGTATAAAAAGGTTATAAAAAAGTTTATCTACTATGCAATCATCATGCATATTTAATTCACCCTCCTAACTTCGTAAATTCTTTTAGTATATACACTTCGATCGACCCTGCACCACCAAATACAAAAATTAAATCAATTCCGGAATTACGTGACATTCTTCTTGATACAAAACTTCCTTTATTTGAGCGATACCGCGCAATGTTCGCGTTACGCAACTTAGGTACCGTAGAAGCTGTCCTGGCCCTTGCTCAAGGTTTAGACGATCCATCTGCCTTATTTAGGCATGAGATTGCTTATGTATTCGGACAAATGCAAAATCCCGCCAGTGTACCAGCCTTAATTAAGACACTAGAGAACACGAGTGAATTGTCTATGGTTCGTCACGAAGCGGCCGAAGCATTAGGATCTATAGCGACTCAAGATTGTTTGCCAATATTAAAAAAATTCAAGGATGATCAAGAAAGGGTCGTCAAGGAAAGTTGTGAAGTTGCATTGGATATGTATGACTATGAAAATTCTCGTGAACTACAATATGCTGATGGATTAGGAAACAAGGTGGTTTCTTAATTATATTAATTAAATATATATAATGGTACTTGCTTTGTTTAACTCCATAAGCTTATTATTTATTGTTTTTTTAACAAGTATAGAATAGAAAATTTATTTTAAAAAACATGAGTAATAACATATTATTCAGGATTGATCTGAATTCAAAAATATATTTCGCTGTTCAAAACAAATAAATTATGCATAAAATTAACCATTAATTATATAGTCCTATCCAGACTAATCAAAGAATAATCACTTCTATTAATTGTAAAAGTCAAAAAATAAAATTAATTTATATATTAGTTAACTTTATTAAAAGGATAAAAATATATACGTAATAGAAATACATATTTATATATAAAAACTTTTTCTGAAATCAATATACAGTATATAATTATATAAGTTGATAAAAAAAATAGATAGTAATGATAAATAATGAAGCAAATAAATTTCATAAATATAAAATTGATATAAAAACATTTTGATAATAATAATAATAATTGTTATATATTTTTATTTAATAATATTTAATAATATTCTTTAAATTTGTAACTCCAGTCCTTTCATTCTTAAAGCAACAAACTTCAACTTGTCAACTATTAAGGCAATAAACTTCATATCAACAAGACTTAAAAAGACAAACACCATCATCATTAGCAAAATAAATAGGGTGATATATATATATATATTTATTTATTTATTTATTTATTTAAAGAAGCAAAGTTCATTACATGCAAATTTTTTATTAACTTAGTATTAAAGTTACAATCATTAAATAAAAGGTCTGACTAACCTATTTTAGCTACAAATAGAATAATATACAGTATGAGTCATATATTTTTGGAATTTTTTTAACTTTGTATTTTATCTTAATATTAAATAAAAAAATC